CTCTCCTGTGCCGTCCCTCCACCCTCCCAAGAATGATGTCTCTCTCCAAGGATGGGACCTGCCTTGCAACATGTCCAAAGATTCTGGATACCCAGCTAATTTCCCCTTGGTTTCTGTAAATCTAAGGCTGCACAGCTTTATGGGAGGAAATCTTTTTTTAGTTTCCCCTAGTGTTGGATGCGAACTGCCAACATCTCAATTAGCAGCCCAACAGTCAACGCACTAAGCCAACCAGCGCCCCCTCTGTGCTTCGCAGGGGTCTCCTAGAATCACCTGGGAATCTTTTCAAACTCTCAAGGTCCAGATCCCACCCCAGACCAATTAGATCACAGCCTCAGGAGTGGCCCCATCAGTATTTTCTGGAAGTTCCCCAAGACAGCCCCATGTGCAGCCAAATTGGGGAATCTTCCTCCATCCAGAACCTTAAAATGGCTTGAGCCCTTGAGCTTGACCTTGAAAAGACGCAAGCAGGCAACCTAATTTGCAGTCAGAGGTGAGGCCGGATGGGGTCGGGGTGAAAAGGTCTGGGGCCTCGGGGAGCTCCTGGGGGTCACCCGCTCCCGGAAGCCTCGAGGGCTGGGGGTCACCATCCCTCCCACCCGGACCCGCCGGCCTGGACCCGCGCTGCCCACGCCCTCCGCGCCTGGGAGCAGCAGGTAGCGCTGCGCCCGCGTGGGCGCCAGAGGGCGCGCGTGAGGACGCGCCACGCTCCCTGCCCGCAGCTGGTTCAAACTGGTTCTGGCAGGGTGCGGCCTAGGCGGGCTGCATTCCAGGCCCCAGGCTTCCTGCCTGCTCTTGGGGCTGCCCGGGGGTCACCAAGTGCAAGGCCTACCAAGGACAGGACCCTTGGACATGAGCCTGGCATTGCCAGGGAATGGAGAGAGATTCAAACATTCCAGCCTCTTTGTTTAAAATCATGCATTGGGGCCCCCAATGCCAGCAGTGGGGTGTGGTCCTTGGATGGGGGCTGGAGAGGGGCTTTCGTTTCAAACTTCATCAGCCTCCATGAGTGTTAAAACACAGATGCACGGAAACCCTACCACCGCAAAGATTCTGGCCGATGCAAGGTGTTTGGGGGTCTTTTCAGCAAAAGGCTTCAAGGTATAAGCACATATTTAGAACAAAAGATGACAAACAAAATGTCCATTTGCAGAGAAAGCATGCCGGTGAAAACCATGTACCGCCAGACGTGAGTCCCACAGTGACCCCCAATTTGTCTCCCTCCTCCATGCAAAATACATTTACCCCATCACATCAGCCGGAAAGTCTTCCACCAACTCCAGTGTCTGGAACATAAGTGAGGATTTGGGCAGATTCCAAGCTGGGACAAAATGCCTCTTTGTCTCCGAACTTTTGAAATGAAGAATATCGATAAATTATTTGTTTCCTTCAGAGAGGACCTGAAATTTTAGTGATACTTTCATGATTTTTGTTTTGTTTTGTCGATTTCAGGGAGCCCTGGTGGCCTAGTGGGTAAAGAGTTGCACAGCCAACCCAAAGGCAGGTAGCTCAAATCCACCACCTGCCAGTTCCTCCCCAGAAATTCCCAGTCTTGGAAAAACCTGCTGGCGGGACTGGAGGGTCCAGGCCTATCTGACAGAATAGAACAAACAACGAGTCATTTCTGGCCTTCAAAAAGTTTACATATTGTGACGAACATCTAAGAAAGAAAACATTGCAAATATGTATTGAACTTCATATTATTGTGTGCTGTTGATTCCAACTTATTATAGTGATCCTCCTGGACAGACGAGAACTGCCCCTTGGGGTTTTCTAGTCTGGAGCCTTACTGGGACCATGTTATCAGATCTTTTCTCCTGAAGGACTGCTGGGTGGGTTAGAACAGTCAGCCCTGTGTCGCCAGGGCTCCCTACCCGTCTTGCTGCTCTCTCACTGCTGTCAATCAGAAGTGACTTATACGTGACCCTCCAGGGGTTTTTCAGAGGCTGTAAATCACATGGGAAGAGACTGCCTATCTTTCTCCCACTATTCAAATCCATCTGTGGGATTTCAACTGTCTGACTTTGGGTCAACAGTACAACTCCCTAGCCACTAGGCCACCAGAACACCAGGGGTACCCATCTTGTGTCCTGCCCCAATTCCCTCTCTCTCTCCTGGAAAAAACAGCTTTCCAGAGTGTAGCAGGCAGCATTCCAATGTTCCACTTTACCCTTCCACTCCATATGCCTGTTTCCATACACAATCTATAGTGTGGTGAGGCATCTTTTTAAAACTCTCTGTTAATGGCAGCATGCCCCACGGAGTCTTCTACAACTTGCCTCCTTCCCCTCACCCGCCCCATCTTCTTTTTAGTATTATTTTGAAATGTCTCCATCAGGAAAGGTGTATGTGGTCACACCTACTAGGTCCGTCTGAGGTCGGCTGGGGTTTTGGAGGGAGGTGCCTGGCAGATGGACAGGGCCCAGGGCCAGCGCTGAGTTCCTGAGGTAGTCCACATCTGGGCCTCCACATCGGGACCGTCCTGATACTGATGAATGACTATGTGCTGGTTCATCAAGTTCCCATCAACCCCCTTTTCCTAAGCACCTGGGGCCCAGGTCTTTGCCAAGAACCTTCCAGAAAGTGACTCTGGCCTGAGGATTTGAAGGTTTGGGAGAGGGATGCCAGGGAATTAGCAGTGCAGCGGGCAGGTGAAGAAGTGGGTGGGTACAGCACAGGACTTGACAGTGACAGATCTAGCATGAATTCAGACCTCTTGCCTAAGATCGTCAGAACAACACCGGACCTCCTGGAAATGTGGGTTCCAGAGAAACCAGTCCGGTCTGATGGGGAGGGGGAGGAAGGGCTTCTCATTTCTTTTTGCTAAAGCTGGCAAACCTGCCCATCCCATAATGTTCTGTTTCATTTCTTTTAAGCTAGTTTGACACTTTAAAGGAAGGGGGATGGGAAAGAATAATCATCATATAAAAAAAATCAAAACTCTAGAGTTCCCTGTACCAACTTCCCTTTGTAGGACTATTAGCCTAACAATGATTTTTATTTTAATTCTTTTTACCTAGATGCATTCCACTCTCTAAAGGAGTTCTGGTACATGGTGGTTTAAAGGGTACTCGACAAGTCCACAGTCCACCCCATCAGTCACTAATTTGGCAGCTGGCTTCCTTAAAGAATGTTGTCTTGTATCCTCTAGTTGGAACTGACTCAAAGCTAACCCTCAAGCGGGATTTCAGAGTAATAAATCACACCTGCCCATTTTATCTCCAAGAGCGGCTGGTGGATTCGAACCGCATGCCTTTGGGTTCGTAGTGCAACTTCTTAACCTTGGAAATCCTATGGAGCCTTTCTACTCTGTCCTTTTAGGTCTCAATGGGGCTGAACGGACTCGACAGCGTGAGTTCGGGGCTTTTATGAACCACGTAGACATTTTTTTTTCCCAAAGAGAAAAGCGAAATTGGTGCGGGGTGAGCAGGGAGGAAAATGTGCAACAATGAATGAATGGAAATCCAATTTCTCTATAAATTTTCATTAAAATCTCGATTAAAAAAAAAAGTCTACGCATCTTCCTAGGGCATTCAAATTCCGAGCCGTTCAAATTTAGCGCCCAAGAAGGTTACCACCACCGGGAGGAACCCACTCAGTGGGCGCACTTTTGGTTAGAAAGTCGGGGAGGAGGAGGGGGGAGCGAACCTCTCCAGGTGGTTTCCCTAATTTCCAGGATTCACAAGTTGTTAGATGCTTAAGGAGCTCTGGGCTTTAAATAACAAGGATCGTCTAGAACACAGCAAGGTTCTAATCATCCCGCTCCCACCTGCTGCTATTGCTGTGAATTTGCATTTCTAGCCCTAATATGCTGAACCAGAATCTACACTTCAACAAGATTCCCCAAATGATTCTTACCCATACAGTTGACGCCCTGGATCCCAGGTTCTCTAGTCTAAAGGTTGTTGGAGTTACCCTAAGCACTTTAAAGAAGGCCCTCTCCTATTTCTAGTTAACCGAGTGGCCTAGTGGGTAAGGAGTTGGGCAAACACAAAGCCTAGCTATGAGCCGCTCTGCAATCCCCGGTGCAATTACACTAACAGCCTCTTAAAACGCGCTGGAGGGTCATCCAGAAGTCGGGATGAGTCCGAGTTTGGTTTTTTTGGGTTTTTTTTTGTTTTTTTTTTTTTTTTTTAGTTAAGGTACTGGCTCACCGGACATTTAAAAGCTCCCCAAGGGGTTCAATGAGCATACTAGGTTAGAAACCTCCGCGGATTCCAAGAGATCAGTTGTCTACTACAGTGGCTCTCAAACTTGCCTATGTGTTGGAATCATCACCTGGGGAGTCTCAGACATTACTAACGCCTGGCTCTCAACCCACGGCCTGAGCGATGTGGGCTTTCGGGACCTGTGTGGTTCCAGTCAGGAGTTTTGCAGGTGACCCGCTTACCTGGAGCCATGGAGACGCGGCGCGCGCAGCACTTGGCGTGGGGCGCAACCCCCTGGGGAGGCGCGGAGGCGGCCGCTGGGTGGCGCACAGCCGGGGGAGGCGCGGAGACCCGGCACGAAGCGCACCTCTGGGTGGAGGCGCTGGGCGCAGAGACTGGGCCGCTGAGTGGCACACCTCGGGAGAAGGCGCGGGACGCACCCCGGGGGAGGCGCGGAGACTGGGCGCTAGACACGGGGCGCACCCCCGGGGGAGGGGCAGAGCCCTGGCACCGGGCACGGGCGCATCCCCGGAGGAGGCGCAGAGCCCTGGCACCGGGCATGGGGCGCACCCCCGGGGGAGGCGCGGAGACTGGGCGCTAGGCACGGGGCGCACCCCGGGGAGAGGCGCGGAGACGGGGAGCTGGGCACCGGGCATGGGGCGCAGCTCTTGGGGAGGCGCGGGGGTGACCACTGGGTGGCGCTGCCCGCACAGCTAGGCT